ACACTAATTTTTTGGAATATTTGTTCCATTGTGGGTGTATAAAAGTTTTTCACCGATTTCTTTGCCTACTTGAAATAAAATCGTCTATGTCCGTAATTTTGTCTCCGGGGTTAGTATCTGTGTCAATTAGATTTATGTCAATTGGGTTTAAGTCAATTTTTATTCTAGAGAGACGGTCAGCGTTGGTATTTTGTTTGCCTTTTTTTATATTTAATTTCGTAGTCATATTCCTCAAGTTTGAGTCGTCATCTTACTAGTCTACTGTTGGGTTCTTTTAAGTTAAATAGCCATTGTAAGGGTTTGTGGTCAGTTTGAATGATTAATTTTCTACCAAGAATGTAGGGTCTAAAATATTTGCATGCCCATACGATTGCGAGCAATTCTTTTTCGATTGTACTGTCATTTATTTCAGCCGGATTTAATGTTCGAGAAGCATAATAATGGGATGGTCATTTTGACTAAGTACTGCACCAATCGCAAAATTTGAGGCGTCAGTTGTGATTGTAAACTGTTTTTCAAAGTCGGGAAATGCTAAAATGGGGTCGTTACATAAGAGAGTCTTACAATATTCAAGTGTTAATAAATTCTGGAATGTGAATTACTTTTTCTCCTTTTTTAAGACATTTGGTGAAAGGTTTAGTGATTTTGGAAAAGTTTTTAATAAAGTGTGTATAATATCCTAAAAACCCTAAAAAGCTTTTAATATCGCGATGGTATTGGGAAATATTTTATAGCTTCAATTTTTTTTGTATTCGTTTTTATGCCGTTTGGAGTAATAACATGCCCAAGAAATTAAACAGATTTTGACAAAAATTCAGATTTACCTAATTGGATTTTGAGGTTGCGTTTCCTAAAAGCTTCAAATACTTTATGCAAATTTAGAATATGTTTCTGTAATGATGTTGAAAAAGTAATTACGTCATCCATATAAACTAAACAAATTTTGTTTTGCAAATCTTTCAAAACTATCCATGACTCTTTGAAAGGTACTTGGGGCATTTTTTAAACTGAAGGACATTCTCAAATATTCGTAATATCCTTGTCCGCTAAAGGCGGTTTTTTCTACTGAATTAGGACGTACTTCAATTTGGTGAAACCCACTAGCTAAGTTAAGTGTCGTGAAATAGTTACATCAGCCTAGTTTGTCTAAAATGTCTGTGATGTTTGGTAAGGGGAAAAGGTCTTCGATAGTCTTGTTATTTAATTATTGATAGTCGACAACTAGTCTCCCTTTTTGAATTCCGGAAGTGTCTTTTTTCTTAAGAACCACCCAAATTGGTGGGGACCATGGGCTTATAGTGGGTCTGATAATATTTTCGTGTAACATTTGTTCTTTTTGGTTTTTGACTTGCTATTTATGGACATGTGGGAATCTATAGGATTTTGTATAAATGGGATTTTCATCTTTTGTTCTAATTTCGTGTTTGACAAAATTATGAAAATTTAAAAGATCACCTGGTCTTAGAAATATGTCTTCGAATTTGTTACAGATATTTAAAAGTGATTTTTTCTCTTCTGGATTTAGATGTTCTAGACGAAGTAAAATTTTTGATAAAGCAGGAGATTTAATATCGTAATCAAAGGAATCATAATTTTCTAGAAAAGGTTCAACTGAAAGAGGTTCTTCAAATTTGACAATTTGAGCTTCTTAAGTGATATTGTAAATTTCTACAGTAGCATAACCATTGTGGCATGTACTTATGGAAGTTGGAATAAAAAAATCATCTGTTGATTGATATGGAATATATACGTCATCATCAGGAATGTCAACGGGAATTTGTTTTTAAACCTTCGTGAGCATTGACCGAATAACATTTAGAAGTATCGTTTGGATTTCTATAATAAATCGGAATATTTATTGATCTATCTGGACTGTTCAGAAAAATTTATGGATAGTTGTAAATTTTGAAGATCATTGAAACCTATTAGACCATCATAATACTCATGGAAATCATGTAAAATAACAGTTATGAAAATATGGGAATTAAATTCTTTGAAAATTGGAATGTCTGCTCTACAACGTGCGTTCATTGTATCAACACAAATTTTTAATTCAGTTTTATCAAAATAAATACAAGAAGGATAATAATTTTCGATTATGGAAGGATCAATAATTGAAGATGCGCAACCAGTCTATTAATAATTTCATTGGAAGATTTTGAATTTTGATATAAAATAATGGACAAGCTAGTTTAAAGGCGTTTATTTCGTTTAGAAATTGTTCCTCTTCGTCGAGTTCTATATAGGGTTGTTCTAGTTTGTAGCCGTAGGAAATTTGGATTTTGTTGTGAGTCTTGATATATTTCTTGGAATTGTTCTTGGTGGAAGTTTTCTTGGTAGTAGTCTTCTTCAGTTGTATCTTCTTCTACATTGTGAAGTTCTTCTGATATCTAGTTTCTTGGTCCTGTTGGTTGGAAGTTTTGGAATCTTGGTACAGGTCTATGCGATGTTGTCGACATTGGCGTAGGTTTATATGTAGGGTTTGCATTCATGGGTTTAAAATTGTTTGGTTTTGGTCGAGTTTTCCAAAAACTTTAAATATTTGTAAAAAAAAATTGTGTGGGCATTTGTTTGGGTTATATGTCAATTGGCTGTGATGGAAAATTTTGTCTTGAGACTTGAGATTGAAAATGTTGATTTTAGAATTGATTTGGAATTTGTAAAAACTTTTGATTATAGCCTTTGTCTTGGCATAATATTATATTGTAGTTGGGGTGATGGTAGCATTGGTTTTTGATAGTCTGATTTATTTGAAAAATTTGAATTTTGAAAAGATTTAATGTAATTTGAAAAATTTTCTTCCTCTCATGATGAAAAGTTCATACTTTTGAAATTGCAATTTCTAATGATTCTACTTGCTGGACTCTAATCATAAATTGTAACATAGGATAAAATTCTTTCTCTTGCAACATTTTATTTGCATGAATTAATTTACTGACTAATAAACTACGCAATTCTTGACATCTTAAGGTTCGATACCGAAAAAAAATGATAAAGTTTTCAAAGCAATTGAAATCTGTTAATAAATATGCAAACTGTCTCGTGTAAAAATATCAGATCAATTGCCAATGTAGTTTTTTTAAAAAATGATATTAAAAATTATGCTCACAGGCTCTTATGGGAGCTGGGAAAAAACTTTAATCAAACGTGAATATTGCTCTTAAAAATTGTTAGGATCGAGAAAATAAAATTGTAAATAAAGAATTAAATATTACTAAACATTTTAAAACAATAAAAATATGCACTTACAGTGTAATTATTGAGATAATGGAATGAATAGATAACGTTTTGACAAAATTGAACAAATATCTGATCCAATGAAAGGAAATATGGCAACACTGTACGCTGTATTTAATGCTCCGACTGACGCGCTATATTTGAATAGCTCGATTATAGACTATAAATTATTCTAGTTGAAAACATAATGTAGTAATAATTAATATTAAGTAAATTTTTCATGATCTAATGCAATATAATAGCAATTTGAAACAAACATTGAAAGGATCTCTTTGCAAAACGAACAGTATAGATAGTTATCATATGGATTCTCGGTTTGCACATTTTACTTGTTTCTCATCAATCAATATTTTGTTTCATGTGCATTTTATATTGTTTTTCAGTCATTACTTTTCCTTTGTACCTTGGATGTTCATTCCTGTTTACGGTATACGCGCCAAGCACAGTTGACACTTGACAGTTGACGCAACTTTTACCACCACACTACACTGATGTGCAATGCTGCCAGATTTCGCTCATAGTTTTACAAGCTCTTAATGAATAAATAGACATTTTTATTCAAATAAAAAGTTAATTGCCGTGCATTAAACACGAAATATATATGTGAGCTGATATGTGTTGTATAAATTGTATTCATATATATTATATTTAGTTCGCTCAAATTAGTTTATGTAAGATTGGTACTACAACAAAACTCCCATGTATAAGCATAGGCTTTCCTCTCGCACCGTCTGCCCTGCAAGAGATCTATCGAACCTCCTTAAGCCAAAACTGATAATTTTCATTTTAAAAATTTTTAGATTTAACACGTTATATTTTAAGCATTTAATATCTCTTTAGTCACCAAAATTTAGTCTCAAAATTTCTTTAATCTGTAGCCAACTTCGAATTTCTATGCGCGCGCCCACTAACATTTGCGCTTTGCCTATTAATTTTCCTAAAATATGAAAGTATTTAATGTATCTCTATCTGCATGAAAATATTGATTTACTAAACTGTCACAGGGATTTATGAAAGTGTTTAATCCAAAAGGATTTCTGTCATATTTGGGTATACTGTCAATATATACTCGTAACAGTTGATAATCTACAGGTGGAAGTAAATTCGGTTCTCTGCTTGTAGCCATTTTATTTGATTTAGAAATTTTTAATTTACTTGAAAGATTTACTAATTCTGATATACTCAAAATTTTGAAAACATAAAAATAAAATAATTTTGACGCTAAATTATTTGCAGGAAAAGTAAACTTAACAACTAAAATTTGACTCGATTTGAGTTTGAGATTTTGTTTGATTTGTTTTTTTGATGTTTCCTTCACCTAGGTATTCACAATGAATAACGAGCCTATTGTTCTCAAAAGAATTTCAGAGAGAATAGGTGGGTGAATTATAATAAAGGTCGGAAGGAAAATAATGCTTGACTTACTTTGTCGTTGCCTCAGCTGTTTTCTTGATAAGTTTTCAATCAGCGAAACGACTTTGGTAGGTAGGTCGTGATTCTTGCCTTCGAAGATAAGCTTCTAATCGATAGAAACCTCAATGCGTCAATTGGCAGTCTTTCACTTCCCGATTTTTGTTGTGGAATCACTGTACCTTCAACTTAGAAAAGTTTATTTAAATCACTCAAATTCTTCAGAGGTTTAAACGACACAAACACACAATCATCACACATCAATTTAAACACAATCCCAACCTCATCGCCAGTTTTACTTGTGAAATTAATTGTTGGATAATTAATTCAAAAGTATGTTTAGCAAGCACAGACTTTATTATCTCACGACAATATTATAATTGAAGATTGGAATCCACAAAGCATTTTTATATGTATTCAAAAAGCTGACTTTAACATAATTTTCATCTCTACTTGATACTTAGAGTTCATGACATTTATTATCATGATTAAAGTAATGAATTGTAAGGAAAAATCTGGGTATCCATTAATTACAGGGTGGACCAATTATTGAAGACGAGTCCATGATAAACTTATTTTCTGGTATTTCAAACCAAAAATCTATTTTTGAGATCTTCAAAATCGAGAAGACCCCTCTTCGAGGGAATCTGCCGGATGACTCATCTTCACATCGAAATTGAGCTGAAGTCTGCATAGTTTATCTACTAACGGTGTAGGGGCATCACCTCTGCAGGAAGAAGTTTGACGTATATAATGTAGGAACTTTTTGCGTTCAATGCAGAATCGCAAGATGTGGTTTCTAATTTTAGTTTTTTGATAAGGCCTTATGTTAATGTACATGTTTTTTTTGTTCAAGAGGCCTAAGCGGATCTGTATATGAATATTCCACCATATTTTTTTCCACTCTTACCACACAGCGCTACCAACTGTAAATTCTTCGTCTTAAGATTTTCAAATTTTTCACCAACTGCTGAAATATTATTTAACATTAATATATCTGCCACAGTATTCTCGTTGTTAAATGCTACGGTAGTCTAGAAGTAACACGCTCGCTTTGGAATCCAAAGGATCGGGGTTCGAATCTCAGAGTAAACTATTTTCATTTAAATAAAATTTGCAATCAACTGAATTAGTGAAGTTATTAATAGTTTTTTATGTCATGTTGTATACTGTTGGAAAGGGAATAGACTAGAGAAATTTTTAAAGGAATTTGGGGATCACGATCATGTTTAGTTTTTTTTATTGCAACGTTGTCGAGCGTTAATTTTTTTTTACCTCTTTCAAAAACTTTGGGAGTTAATAAAATGACAACTAGATGTTACTTGAAAGTAATTTTGAATTTGATAGAACCCTATAACAGTAAACATACAAATTTAAATTAAATTTGGAGGGCTATACAATATCTTTTTTTAAAATTTAAATTTAAATACTCAATTTTGGGATTTTTCAAAACAATAAAAAAGTTGAAATAAAAAACCCATGGAACCAAGAGTGAGTTATTGGGGCTGAAGAGATTGCAAATAACCCTTCCTTTCGGCTTATTCTATTTGGCAAACAATGCACCAAACACTTTGTATTTCACTATGAGGAAAAATTTTATTTCAATTTTTTATTCCACTTTAGTTAAAAAAATTTTCATTGCAAAAGTTCTCTATCAAGGCCTAGACTCATTCTCTAATAATCTCCCATGCTTCATTATCAAAATATGACTACTTTAATTTGTGGGAGCTGTCACTGCCGGATACCCCTTTTCCCCAATTTGATTAGATAATTCAATACAGCATTTATATAATCAAAAATACCATTTGAAAAATGTTAAAAATCCATTTATGTAGGTATGTAAATAAAGAGAAATTACTTTTTTTTGGTAAGTAATTTTTTTTGGTGTTGCATGTATGCTTTAATATGATTGGTTTTCTTATTGATATCAAACCCAGTTTATAATTTGTTTTTTAACGTTATAATAAAAATACAAATAAATATATGAGCATTTATGTATAAAATAGGATAGGTAGCTTAGACATATTAATTTTTATGTTTTCTTACCTGTTTCACCAGTGGTAACAACAACAGGGGCGCTGGGAGGACCCCTTCCAATATTATTTACAGCAATTACATACATTTCATATTCAGTGTAGGGACTCAGATTTCTAACAGAGTAATACATAGTAATAATTCCACTGATTTCGCTAAATGCTTGATTGGCATATTTGGGTTTAAACTGTATTACATAGTACTGCAGATCTTCTGGTTCATTATAAGACCAACTTAATCTTACTGAAGCTGCAGTTATTTCTGAAACTCTAACATTTGTTGGTGGTCCCGGAAGTGCTGAAAAAAAAAATTATGTGTATGTTATACAGGGTGTCACCTAACGAATGTTACATAGTTCAAGGGTACGATCTAGAGCCCAAATGGTGTCGATTTAACCAAACTTCCTTAAACGAAAAATATCGCAAAAAAGTTACATTATTTCTTGTATTTCTCCTTAATTCAGAATCCAGTTAACCGATTTGAGCAAAATTTGCTGTTACTTAGTTTCTCTTCATGATTATGTTCCTATTAGGTTAAGGTGGCCATATTCCCGGCCGAGAAATAGTGAAATTTCTGGCGTTTTTAGGTACTGAAATCTTTAAAAGTAAAACGTGTAGAACAAAAGTAAGCACAAAAATGAAATCCTTGACGTTTTGTTTATTCATTGTTACCATTTAAATTTACTCAAATAAAATAATAACTAAAAAAAAAAGCGTTTGTAAAACATGCGTTTGCTGTTATTCTAACCCCACATTTTAAGAATTATTTTCACGTACTTATAAATAAAAGTAAACAATTTTATATGTAGGACTAAGCAAGTAAATGTTATAAGAATATTTATATGTGGAATTATATATAAAAAAGTTAGTATTTTCGTAGATTTCAGTACCTAAAACCTTGATGGTTTGTTCGTTTTTTGCACCTGTTTAATCGTTTTACTGCGGCGTCTTTGAAAATACCCAGATGGCATGACATAACATTCCTATTATTTGATAAGCTTTAGATTATTCAGTTATTAAATGTTTGAAATTATTTGTTTTTGCGGAAAACACTATTTAAAGAATATGGGGCCCTTAAGTCATTATACTATAACCCTTTGTGAATATTCTTCTGTAACTTTTTGGTACGTTTAAATTTTTACATGCAACTATAAGTAGGTAGAGAATTTTATTCTATAAAAAAAATGTATACCTATCAAAATTCGAAATTATGCTTGGTTATGAAGATATTACAGAAAATATTTATTAATACATATCCCAATTTTTTTGGAAATAACTACGTATCCATAACATGACAATTTCGATAAGTCACTGTCAAGTTTGTATTTTGTAAAAATTTGTTTCTGAAAATGCCTCGTCACAATGACTTTACAAATTATGAAATGAGAGACACGATAGTGGTCATATGTTCCTATACATATATAGGAACATTTTAGCAGACGCACTGCTAAGAGAACACCTGAAGTTATCCGAATCGCAGACAGCCTTCTCATACATTGTTTGCTTCTTTATTCAGCAGATTGAGGAAACTGGAAACTTCCGGTCTAATTCATGGAATGGAAGGTACGTTCAAAGAACGATACAAGACGTAGAACAAATTCTAGAAGGAGGCAGAAGAAAATCCCGAAATTAGTAGTTTTCATCGTTTGTCAGCAGTCACAAGAGTTGGTCGCAAAACCGTTTCAACTATACTTCACATTAAACAGTTACAATGTTTCCATTTTACTCTGTACAAAATTTGCTTTTGTGAACGATTTCTCCAGTTACATAACAGTGATCACACTTTTTTCGGGAGAATTGATAAGCTGTTTTTAGCCGTAGAGGGTTTTTTATTGGAAAAACTCTCACGTGTGGAGCAAACAAAATCCACACGCAATAAAAGAGCAGCACTTCCAACAAGAATTTTCAGTTAATGTCTGGTGCGGGATTATAGCAAATTTTATGGCCTATCGCTCTCATTAATACTAGACGACAAATGTAGTTCATGCACGATGGTGCCCATGCTCACAACAGCCATTTGGTGAGAGATCATTTAAATTAAGCATTTCCAAACCGGTGGATTGGTCGAGGTAGTGACTTTCCTTGGCCTTCTCGCTGTCCGGATTTTAATCCGTTAGCATTAGACTGTTACTTTTGGGGTCATTTGAAAGGAATTGTTTACAACTCTCTAACACCTAAAATGGGAGAAGAACATTGGGACAGAATAAATGATGCCGTACGACAAGTTAGACGAACATATAATTCGTTTCCTATTCTCAATAGTTTCATAAAACGTTTAAGGAAATATGTCAAAGAGAATGGGAAACATGTAGAACATTTATTACAAATTAGTAGACTTTTTATTACTGCCACATTTCAATTTATTATTTATTATTATTATAGTTATTTCCAAAAAATATGGGATATGTGTTAATAAACATTTTCTGTAATATATTCATTACCGAGCATAATTTCGACTTTTGATAGGTATACATTTCCTGTGTAGAATAAAATTCTCTACCTATTTCCGATAGTTGCGTGTAAAAATTTAAACGTACAAAAAAGTTAGAGAAGAACATTCACAAAGGGTTGTAGTAAAATGAAGGAGAAAACAAGAAATAAAAAAGAAACTTTAACAACTTGTAACTTTTTTTGCAACATTTTTCGTTTAAGCAAGTTTGGTTAAATCAACACCATTTGGGTTCTACATTATACCCTTGAAGTATGTATCATTCGTTAGGTGATACCCTGTACATGTATGTCAAGAACAATAACAGGTATATATAAACTACGTATATATTTGTTTACATAATTTGTTGTGAAGCAATTCATTCTGAATTTGAATTTTCCTACTTGATACAAAATACTTTTTTGCCTTCTAACAATTGCCAGTCACAAACAAAAATTATACACATTCATATCTTGTTGCAAAATATTTTATTATTTCTGTAGTTAAGATGATAAACACTTCCAATTTTTACTTTATGTTTATTACCACAGCACCTCTAGTTCAGAGAGGTAGGTACAAAAATTATTATTAAAGAGTTATTATTTATCAATTCGTTTGTCAATAAATTTTATTATATTTTGCTTTACAAGAGTACATTCTTGTAAATGTAAAACTTTTTGATATCAAAATTACTCACTTAAATATTTTTTTATATATTTCATAACAATTTTCAGGAAATTAATAAAAACTAGCGGCTTCTTGCTATCTACAAAAATACAGTGCTTTTTTATATAATATAAATTGCATCATTATGGTTTTAATTATATTATAAATATCAACTAAGGGGTTTTCAGAAACTATGATCTGATTTTACGGAAAGTACAAAGAAAATTGTCTCATATCTGGCAACTGTTTATGAATGCACAAAAATCAATCGAAGCTTAGATCTAAAATTTTAAATTTTGTTTATTAAAATTTTATTAACAATTTTTCTTTAAATATTTCTAAATATGGAAGACAAACCACTGTGATGACCTTTCTATGTGTCAGTTCCGATGCCACACAAAAGTTGCCGATCGAGTAACAGTAGTGAAGAAAATTGAAAATCAGGGGTTTCGAAAAAAGAACCACTTTAAACTTCTTAATATGTAGAATATACAGGGTTCTTCATGGTAAGTGGCCTATTAAACGGTTCAGAAGAACCAAAGAGAATATGATTGAAATTTTGTTTACGGGGGTTATCAGTTATGTTCTCTTCAATGAAAATAATGCCATCAATGTCACTTCTGGTTATATTCGAAGTAGCTGTCAATTTCGTTATTTTAAATGGAACACCCCATATTACATACATATACAAATATGGCCACCGAAGCAGGTTCTGTTTCAGCTGCTCCTAAAGAAAATGTGAATTTCATGTGTAAATACTGTTCTAAAAAAGTGAAAAACAAAGTGGTGTGTATTAAGTGCAGTGAAATCTTCTATTCAGCTTGTTTAAAACAAGCCAGTGAACTAAAAAAATCTGATTGTAAACATGAATCAGCCCCAGAGCTGGGTAATTCGTGGTGAAAAAGTAATTAGCAATTACAATTCCCTTTTTTTTCCTGTAATTGTATTTAAGTACTTTTTTTTAATAAAGTAATTTGGAATTGTAACTGCAGCAAAATTGTTATAGGAATTGTAATTTGTAATTACATTATTTGAACTATCGAATTACAAATTACTTCTATAAGTACAAATACTTTTTCCAATTACAATTACTTTTTCTAATAATTATAATTACTTTTAAGATCATGCGTACTGCATAATTGCGTACAGATTTGCAGACTTCTATTATTTCCTTTGAGGAAAGCCTTGTGCCGCGTGAACAGTAAAAAGTGATTTGGTGAATTAACCTCAGAATTAACAGAGTACATTTTATTGTATTATAATTATTATTAATTTAGAAAATATACGAAGTAAAAATATGTTGTCTATAGCATCAAGTTTTATAAAAATATATATTATGTATCTATGTGTTACTGCTCTTATTTTGAGTTGAGAAAACTTCTGGTTCGGTTATTCAGCCTTTCACTCGTACTTGTTCGATTGGTAATTTTTTTAATAATAATTACCTATTGCTTTCCAGTCTACCCAAAACTACTGTATTCTATATTTTGTAAATGTACTAACAACCAAAAAAAAGAGCATCGGGTTGAATTAATTACCTGACCAATAATATAAAATTATAGTATGAACTGAACTAGTTTAAATTATTAGATTAGGAATAAAAATATAAAAATTCTATATCAGAAAATGAATAAGAATAATATTTTCATTTTAGTATCAATTCTAATAAATAATAAATCGCAATATTACACAACACTTTTAATTAAAATTTTTAACTGAATTTTTTCTTTTTCTGTTTGGTCACTATAATTTACTTTATCATAAAAGTAATTAGAAAAGTAATTGCTACATCCATTTTCCATGTAACTGTAATTAAATTAATATAATTCCTTTTTTAAAGAATATACTTTGTAATTGTAATTAGTTCCTTTTTTTAAAAACGTAATTTGTAATTGTAACTATTTTTAAATTACAAGTAATTACCCAGCTCTGATCAGCCCAACAATTTTCTGATATGAATGAAGAAAACTATCTTAGAGAAGAAATTAAACTGCTGAAACAAATAATAGCAGACAAAGACATTATAATAGCAGATAAATGTCAGTAAGCAGCAAGTAACAGCCGAAATTATGAAAATTCAAACTGAACAAAAAGCAGATGAAATAATCAATTTAGTAAATGAAAATTATGCAAAAAGAAAATATTTAACGCCAACCATAAACGAGGTAAAACATAATCGTACTCCACTAGTGAATGAGGAAGAA